CCTATACTTTTCTTGACATAATTGACTGTCAGTTCTTATTATTATCACATAAAAAAAAGAAACCTTTACCTTGCACGTCTTTCCGTCGGCTTGTCAGGCACACATGCATAACGTGATGTGTGTTGCTCTTGCGTTGACATCATGCACAGCCGGGCATGGCGCCAGCGTAAAAACAATGCGCACGTGCTTAAGCAGAGCAGGGGCAAGGACTCTGCACGATCATGGATGTACCTAATTATGCAAAAATAAGTAAATAAAATAGAGCTAGCATCGAAATCCAAGTAGCACGGCGACTCCTATCCATCATCTATCCATCTATCCATGGCAAACATCTGTCCATGACTTCAAAGACTAAAATAAGGAGCGTACCAGGCTGTCTCAGTAGTAACTGGCTCTGAAAAAATGTATTTTCGCAATTTGTAAAAGTAAATAAAAACATCGCAAGGGCCGCCATATTTAATTAGGGATACCCTATATCGCAACATTTGCAGCAAGGCGTGCTTGACAAGCCCCATACCCTGAAGACCGCAGCAGTGGAACTTCGACTCGGCGTCACATGAGGAGGGTGGCGGGATGGCACCGGCAAGGCCACGCATCACATCACCTGCAAATCTTGAATGAATAACAAAGCTTCCGCGTGGTATCTGCATCTAAGCATCGCTTTTTTGCCACGGTCAACGGTTGGTTCGTGTCAGTTACGGGTCGGCCGCCTACGACCTTGCCGCGATCGCTATTTTAACTATACTGGCTTGCCGCTCTACCACTGGCATCACTCGTAACGTTTCTGCTCATGTCCCGTGACCTCGAGCTATCGTGGTGCAGATTAGTTGACACCTCTAAAGTCAACATCGCCTAACAGCACGACTCAGTGATCGTAATGTGTGCGTTAGGACACAATGTGCCATCTGTATACCCTGTCTGAAATTTGCAAAGCAGAAAGGTCACATAGTCGTGGCAAAGGTCTAACGCTAAGAGCCTGTGACCTTCTATTGGTGCTTAATCATTTGTACTTTGCGTTTGAATGCTCCAAATATTTCACGATATGAAATAGTTGCCTTTGTCAAATAATTATAATACTAATAAAAACTTCGTAATATACGTGCCATGTGGCTGCTGCTTTATAGAGGAGTAACATTTCTACAACTTCGGTATTTCACTCGTGCCTTATATTATGTGAGAGTTCTATCTGTATTCTAAATCACAACGTGTAAATGTCAGTGTCTCTGTATATTTTATGCATTGTATCCCACAACAGAGCCTGTACAATTTTGTAGAAACACCTGTGACCTTTGGCTCCTTTTAGAGGCGACGTCAGGCCGAGGCACGGGGGGGGGGGGGGGGGGTCGACATTTTTCTCGCCCCGCCCCTTCGCGCTTCGACCCCCAACAGCCTCAAAGCCAAGGATGGTGGTTTGCCCCCTCCTCTTTCATAAAAAAAAGGAAGAAAAGAACATTGGCACCATCCCTGCCTACTTGTTGTTTTTGTGTATAATAAATATAACCCTTTGTTGCCTTAGAATGCAAAGTCCTGTTTCTGTAAAAATAGGAGGTCTGGCATTTCAAAATTGCTGCTAAACGAGGCACGCTGCATCACCATGCAAGGCTCGTTTAAAGTGCTAAGCCTACCCTTTTTTTGGCACACATTTGACGCATGTTGTGCTTATCTATATATTAACAGTTCTTAAGTTGCTAAAAACAACAGTGCTGCTAGGGGCACCGTCAGTCATGACAGTACCACACCTTGCAGTAAATGCTCGTTCCCGCCAATCGCGAGACCATGTCAGTATAACAAATCGACTGGTTGCAACTGGTTGCAAAGCGACTGCTTTGACTCAGATGCTCGCTGCTCGATATTTCATAGCGCAAGCATACCCTCTGAACTAATCATGTGCGATGGAACAGGACGCCTGCTTATTTTACCAGGGCAATGACAATGCGAGCCATATTTGAGAAGACGGGAATTCTGTGAGACGACGAGTATAATTCGCTATCAGGTGTGAATAACAGTCGTTTCAAGTCGCTTTTTGATAACCAGTCGCAAATGGTTGTACGACCGGCGCGATTCGCATGTGAGAACGAGCATTAAGAGTTTGTGAGTTGTACTGGGATTAATTGCACGAGGCAGTAGCCCCAACGCAGATTCTCAATATGAACGAAAGTAGAACAAGAAAGTTATTATAATCAGGCTGCTGCTGCCACAAGGCACATTTTTTCCTCACATTCCTTAAACGTTGTGTGAACCACAACATATCTGCCTAGTAATGACAAAAACACGCACTTGTAAACCTGTGAGGCGAAATTTCTTCCCCTAGGCAGACCTCAGTATGAAGAGGAATAACGCTCGTGAACTTATGCTCAGAAATTTTTTTTGTGTTCATTGCATCGACATTGAAGACGTCATGCTATGTTGAAACCGTATTTGCGATTTCGACTGACTGACCAGGGTGAACAGGTCTCTCTCACTGTACACTTTGCGACTTCAAATACAGAAATTGTTTAAAGGGGCGCATCAGGATCAATGATAGTCGTGCTCATGTGGATTATGACAATGAGGACTCAATCCCGGTTAATTCCCCAAAGGAGCGATATGCCAAAAACAAGGTCGGTAACCACAGAAATAACATCTGTGTAAGCTATCGACAGGGGCTACAGTTTGTACAGCTTTGTTTTCAATCCACGAGGTAGCACTGCAGGGGTGACATATATCATGGCCTCAGTGATGCTCCAAAGGGGGCTGCTGGAGCAAATCCTGAAGGCCGTTCATATACACACAGTTCATGATAAGCGTGGATCGTCTTGTCAAAACTCACTCCACACTCGATCTTGTGAGGAGGCACAGCTGTTTCGTTTTGCACTGAGCCACGAAGAAAAACGCCAGCGACAAAAAGGTTCAATGCTCAAAAAGGTTCAGCGACCACATTTGAGCAACAACAGGCTGACGTGGCACACAAAGAATGTATGCCTCTACTAAAATGTGTGCTCGAACAGTGGAGGATTTGTGAGGTCGGGCAGTGAAATATAGTTAAGCTGTCACGATTTCGTAACGGTCAGCTGTACAGGAGGTGAGCCTTGGCTTGGTAGGCCGAGGTTTTGTCAATAAAATACATTAAAAAAAAGAAAACGAAACAAACATTAGCGCCGCAATATGATACAACAACAAACAAAGCTACACGGACTAGAGCAGCAGACGAATATGAATATGCATAAACTGAAAATGTTTACACTGGCCAAGGGCATGGGCTGCGGACATCCAACAGGCAACACAGCAACCGCATTCGCTGTCACATTTTTATCTTGCCAGATGCGGTAAACAGGGCAATCACCGCAGGCAGTTTGAACGTCCGTTGATTGTAGAATTTCCCGATCGCACAAAAAGAGAAGGAGAGCCAAGGAACGAACGAGCAAGGCCTTCGAGCTCTGCTACCCTGCAATGCGTTGAAAAAAAATTGTCGCCGACACAAAACGCGGGCGAAATTCTTCACAATGAGCGTGCGTACAGTGGGCTCACCGCTAGGGTTCGCTTTGCGAAGTCACTGGCATGTTTAAGCCTAATTCGACAACAAGGCGGTATATAACAAGTTGCAGGAAGGATGACACGTTTACGAGGCAACCGATTTTGACATGGAGCGAGGGACTGCTAATGTTTGGAATCCAACTGCATATGTGAGCATGCTTTTTCGTATAATAAATGCGTTCTCAGCTCCTTCAGTCCACAAGTACTCATTCTTGCATAAAACGTAATTAATGGCCATGTAGATAACAAGATCTAATCACGTACGCTGCAACGCTTGTATCGATCACGTGATTCGCTGTACGATATGAAGAAGTTGCAAGAGACCAGAAGATAGAAACGCTTATCTCAATAAATCTTAAAGCCTCAATAAATATATTCACACTTAGTGACGCCTTCTAAGCAAGACCTATCCAAACTGCTCAGCTAAAAATGTTGACATCATTCAGTCTGTGACTCTCAAGTGAAACAAGTTTTGAACTTAGCCTATTGGTCACTTTGGCTATGCAAAGACAGGTGCCACAAAAAAGTGCACTGTAAGTGTATAAACAGTGTATGCTTGAACTCTTTTCACTCTAGGTGCCAGAATACGTATAGTTTTTTGCTCCAATGTGGTGGGTAGGGGACATTTTTGAAGGAGCAGGAGACGCTTGGAAAAAGAAGGTTATCGCATATGTGAAATCTTCAGCTACTGTCCATCGTTACAGGCATGATGAGAAAAAAGTTTCCTGCCGCAAAACCAAAGTTCTGTAATTAAACACAAAAAGTAGACCCCATATTCTCTTGGTATACACCTGAGTACTCAAGCTACGCAAGCAGACGTCAAGATTTTCGAGGAGCTGCGGATAAGCCGTTTTTCACCATCTACACAGACTCCGCCCCATTGACAGAGCGTTGACACTTATGTCTTGTTTGTTTCTTTACGTGTGCTCAGCCGTAAGCATATACAGGCAGTCCTACATGCGATTTAAAAGCACAGGTTTTAAGACTGACCACATCCGGGCTGTCTAGCAGTTTTGCTCGCTCCCTCTAATATTCAGGGGTGGACGGTGAGGTTAAGCTGCTTACCAAAAAGCACGCTTTGCTCAAAAACATTGTTTGATCAAAATATTGCTTTTGTACACGCGAAATCCTGCCTTTTTCTCTCTCTTAGAAGGACACATATATGCACCCACACATACAGGCACACGTACAAACCGAACAATCACAAGTAGGTATAGCAGAATTCAAACCCAACTCCTCCCGTCAAAAAAGTGAAACTTGACAGAAAGATCTCGCATCCGGGTCAGCGCATGCAGTACGACAGAGGTCCTAGAGTCGCAGGCAGCGCGTCGCGCCCGCAGGGACGCTATGCCACATCTACAATTCGGACCAAATGATATGCGTGGTTATGCCGTGGCTCCCGACTGATTAAGGAGCTATAGCGCTTGATATGCAGCCACAACAATTGCACGACTCACTTTGGCCTATGCTTAAAAACATCTGCACAATCATTTTACCACATTTTATAAGCTTTTGCACTGTGCAGACATTGCAAATAGAATCCACTACCTGGGCATCCACATGTCGTAACCATCTGGTCTGGTTCGCTGCGTTTTTGAGGGCCTCAAAGTGATCTTTGGACGAGCGTTCCTTTGGTCACTGAGCAGCGAACGTTGGTGGGGGTGTGAAAGGCGATGTTCAGTTCATTGCAAGGATGACACTACAAACGTTCGTGCAGCGGTCGTTTGGTGGTGCCACTTCACTCGTGCCTTGGTGGCTGCGGGCTTGCGATTGGCTGTGTAGTAGAGGGGGCGTCGCCTGCGTCGCCTCCTCCTGGTCCACAGCTGCTGCTGCTACTGCTAGCTTCGTCAGTGCTGAACCAGTGTTTCTTGAGGGAGACGCTCTCGCGTAGCGGACTGTGCACTCTGCGACAAATGGTGCTAAGGTAAAGTTTTTTACATTGGCCCACCCTAGATCTTTATATGACACTGCACCAACATCGGGCACAAGTTAAGAATGCAGGCGAGGCCTCACCCACATGAACACATGAACGAAGCTTGACAGCAGATTTCCCTCTCGAATAAAGAAAAAGTGCAGCTGGTATTCTCGGTCCGTGTTCTCTATTGGAAGGATCACCGGCCATTCGGCTACTGAAATGAGTCTAGCGTACGCACCCACTGGTAAAGACTTGTGCACATTTGCCTTCGAGTTGTGAATGCCGCCGCCTCTTACAGTTGTACCCGATGCTAGCCTTCCCGACAAGCTTCTATAAGCCAACCCTTTGCAGTCATATTTTGGTGTGTCCAATTCATTTCTTAAGGCAAAAGGTACAGCCATACACTAGCAGGCGCCTCATCACGCGATTTACAACATGCGGTGCGCAGGAAGACTGCACGTCCCTAGTCAACATGCTTCTCTGTGCACCCTCGCACACAGCAGGCAGAGGGTGATTTCATCATACTCCCGTTTTTATTCAGAACATCACGGCGACAGCGATGATTCGTATTTAGTGTACATATTATCTGAGAGCGAAAATGAATGGCCGACATTGCGAAAAGGCGCAGTGCCTATGTGCAACGCTCAAAAGAGCATAGGTGATAAGTTAGGCTTTCGTGACACATTCTTGAAATTACACTGAGGTTCTTAGTCGATTAAATTGTTTGTCACTCACTGTGAAGCTTTTCATACTTCGGATGGTGTTGATCTACATCCACGATCTGCCCCTTAGACCAAGTGACAATGTAGTATGATGACGTCATCGATAATGGCAGGAAGTGAGGGTTACGTCCCTATGACGTTGCTATATGGCGTTATTCATGAAGTAATGTTACTTTCCATTGCTCGCTGCGTCGTCCTCTATTTAAGCTGAACCCTCTTTGTAAGTCTCCAGGTTTCTGCTCCGTAGCTAAGTACCGGTAAGATACAGCTGTTATATACCTTCCTCTTGAGGGATAGTGGCAATCTACCTGTCATAATTTGAGAGTGCTTGCCGAATGTGCTCCACCCCATTCTTATTCTTCTAGTTACTTCGATCTCGTGGTTCGGCTCTGCGGTTATTACCTGCCCTAAGTAGACATAGTCTTTTACAACTTCAAGTGCACTATTACCTATCTCGAAGCGCTGCTCCTTGCCGAGGTTGTTGTACTATACTTTCGTTTTCTGCAGATTATTTTAAGACCCACCTTTCTGCTCTCCTTGTCTAACTCCGTAATCATGAGTTGCAATTTGTCCCCTGAGTTACTCAGCAATGCAATGTCATCGGCGAAGCACAGGTTACTAAGGTATTCTCCATTGACTCTTATCCCTAACTGTTCCCATTCTAGGCTTCTGAAAACCTCCTGTAAGCACGCGGTAAATAGCATTGGGGAAATTGTGTCCCCCTGCCTTACACCCTTCTTGATTGGTATTCTGTTGCTTTCTTTATGAAGCACTATGGTAGCAGTTGATCCCCTGTAGATTTCTTCCAGAATGTTTATATATACTTCATCTACGCCCTGATTCAGCAGTGTTTGCATGACGGCTGATATTTCTACTGAATCCAACGCCTTCTCGTAATCTATAAAGGCTATGTATAGTGGTTGGTTATACTCTGAGCATTTCTCTATTACCTGATTGATAGTATGAATGTGGTGAATTGTTGAGTAGCCTGTTCGAAATCCTGCTTGTTCCTTTGGTTGATTGAGTTCTAATGTTTTCTTTACTCTGTTAGCAATTACCTTTGTAAATAGCTTGTATACTACAGAGAGCAAGCTGATCGGCCTGTAATTCTTCAAGTCCTTGTCATCTCCTTTCTTATGTATTAAGATGATGTTAGCGTTCTTCCAAGACTCTGGTACTCTTCCCGTCAGGAGACACCTCGTAAACAGGGTGGCTAGTTTTTCTAACACAATCTGTCCTTCATCTTTCAGCATATCTGATGTTACCTGATCCTCACCAGCAGCTTTGCCTCTTTGCATGCTCTCCAAAGCTTTTCTGACTTCTTCTATCATTACTGGTGGGGTGTAATCTGGGTTACTGCTAGTTCTTATAGTATTAAGGTCGTGGTTGTCGCAGCGAGCAATAGAAAGAAAAATGGTAGGTGTAACCTTAAGAGACAAGAAGAGAGCAGAGTGGATTAGGGAACAAACGGGGGTTAAGGATATCATAGCTGAAATATAAATTGGCAGCAGCAAGCACAGGACCGGGTTAACTGGCAGAACATGGGAGAGGCCTTTGTCCTGCAGTGGACGTAGTCAGGCTGATGATGATGATGATGAATGTTACTTATTTCGGTGACATTCGAGTTGTCAACTGCCGGATTTGTCGACTCATGAGACATACAAGGCTTTGACATTGAAGATCACAGCGTACTCTGAGGACGCTCACCTGCGACGAGCTTCGGTGACATGCGGGGATGTGGTTTGCCGAGACGATCCACTCAAGGAAAGCCCAGCTCTGCCTGCGAAATGCCAGCCATTTGAGCATAATCAGGCAAGGCGTTCCCTCGTGCTGTGCTCATTTTAGTCAATGTGCGAAGGTGAAGTAGGATTGGATTGAATAAACTTTGATTAGCTGAAGTAGGAGACCGGGATTCAACAGGCCATCTCCACATAAAGAACTATACTATTCATGCCACCTAGTCAGCGCTGGTTGCCCATCAAGTTGCCCATATAACTGAAAGACTTCTGCTTTCTGCACTTATAACAGACGACCAAACTGCTTTTCACCTCATCAGTTTAGTCGACGGCTACAATGCTTCTCATAACTGTCAGCACTAAATCTGTCTTTATTTTTCAAAAAAACATGTGGTTCGCTCAGTTAAGCATTCTCTGTTCAGCTAGTTTCTATTTCACCACCTCATTCAAGCACTTTCACGGTAGTACGTCTGAAGTTCATTACATCTAAATCTATGTTCACTATATCCAGCACTCACTGTAAACAGCACTTTCTTACAGGTTTACAATATCCATGCATTCATGAGAGCTAGCACTTGGCAAGCTGACACTCAACAACTAAACAGCTCCAAAATGGCTTAAGGCTTGAAACAGGTATATATGACATAGACACACTTCATCTTAAATTTGTGATGTTATACTACAATATATTCACACTGGTTATACTTCGCCTTCTCTAGCAATTGTGCCGGGAGTAATACAGCCTCCACATTCTTTTGATAAGAGAACCACCCGACACTAGCTTTGTAGCCTCCCTTTTTGAGCAACGATGACTAAATCTTAAGTCAGCTTACAACTCCCGTCGTTCGCCGGCAGCTGTGGTTCACTTGAAGTGCGAGCGGGCGTCCCCAACAGGTGGCGCGCTAACAGCGAGGGCCGCGTCCCCGCTGCCGTGAGCTCCTCCAGGCTGGCGCCGCCCCACGGCGCCTCAAAGAACTGCCGCCTTAGTTCGGCCATATTGCATGCCTTCGACTGGGCACTCTGTGACAGGTGAAGGACGAACGGTTGTGATAAGAGAAATAATAGCCCTGCCTTTACAAAAGCATACCCAAGAGAACAGCAAAGAAGTTGTAATACGTATCACTTTGCAGAAGTTGCGGAACAGCATCACATTCACAATACAGCCAGGATGCAAGGAATCTTTCAGTAATAGTGATAGTTGGGAAGTTGGTGTTGGTTCATGGTTCGAAACTCCCCTTGTGTGTACTTCATCCTTGTATATTCCTCGTTTGTGTCTCGTGATCTGGCACCATTTTTAACCATGGAATAAATCCTTCGTTACATAATGGATATTCATATGGGGGAGAAATGCGCGGAGCAGGTGCTGATTGCAGATCACATGACAACGACTTTAGTGGTTAGCGAGTAGGCTTGAAAAGGTCGCACCCACTCGCTAATCTGCAATGTGGTCCCTGTGAAATCCACGCTTCTTCCCAGTGTTAATACCTCTATGGGCATAGGCGTGGGCGAGTAAGGGGGGCATCTCTTTAATAGTTGCCTAAGGGGGTGGTGGTGGTGGTGCGAAGTCTGCCTCATACATCCACTTAATAGAGAGGGCGCTGCGACGAACTTTCACGCCCCCCCCCTAAAGAGGAACACTGTGCATGCTTATGCCTATAGGACAGTTAGCTGTAGAAATGCTCGGTACTGTCCAACTGTAGTGTTATAGGTTGTCCCAAACATGACACAGAGGTTGTGGCTTTCTATAGACGAACAGTAGGCAAAGCCGCATAAGGAAGGCTGAGTTCATTCTTTATGGGTACAGTAGTCGCAGCGCCTGTAGTTTACGACGTCTACCACTCTTCCACTCACTCTCCTTCACTAGTATAAAGTTTCTGATGAGTCACTGTGCCAAATGCGATTTTCTGGCCATAAGTTATCACTGGTTTGCTCACTAACTCACTCACTCACACACACTCGATCACCCACTCGCTCACTCATTCACTATCTCATCCAGTCACCCACACACTTGCCAATTCAAGCGAAGAAGTTGAAGATTTTTTTCTGCATCGAGATTCTATGACCCGTAAAACCTCTGGTCCTCTTTCTCTCCTTTTTACACATTCTTATAGTACAGATGCTGAGCCCTGCTGCGAGCAACGGTTGCAGAAATCGCAGCGCTTAATCACCACATTCATACACTCGTAAGAATATATATATATGTATGACAAGGTAGCGAAACCACCACCATTGCATCACGATAGAATTTCAGCATGTCATGCCATGACATACACACGACCTGCTCTATAAACTTATGACCTGCTCATTGGCGCCACCCTTATGAAGGCCCGAAAATTGGCGTGTAGGGACCGGAGTTACCGGGAGGTGCCGCCGCGAGGTGCCGCCACGACTTACCCTCATAGCAGACGGCGTGCTGCCGTAGTGGTGCACTCGTGCATGCGCATTTCTGCAATTTTTATCTTATTTATAACACGCTGATCGAGCAACCCACAGATTTAACGAATCGAAGCAACATTGTAGCTGTGAGAAGCACCATAGTGGTTGGCTCTGGGATGTTCATTACAGGAACTCAATCTGCGTGAGCGCTTTGTGTCCTGGTCTAAGCACAGGCGAACGCGAGCAATATGCGACACACCACCAGTTTGTTTTGCGCAGTGCGCCCCACCTAACAGCTGTCTAGAAGGTGCTGAAATAATTCGTCCGTGGGCAAAACAGCGATCTTGTAACAAGTTGCAACCTGAAATCAGTGTGTTTCTGCAACGCAATAAAGACGCATACGGTACTAAAAACGCATGCGATGACCCGTGTAAGTTTTCATGCCTGCATATTGTCCTTCAATGATACTGTTCACGGATAACAATAGAAGGGAGTAGTTGTGCTATCGTCTGACGAATGTCTAACGATCGATAGGAAGTGCGCGATAAAACCGGTGGATTACCCCCAATGTGGTTACAGTGATTCTTGCACCTGCAGCAGTTCGTTGCAGCACTGTTCGAGCGCCGCTGGCGTTTCCAGTGTGTGTCTCACCGGCGATGTCACTAAGCTTTTATCTCTGGAGCAGCAAACTACAGCACATTAAGTAACAACAGCTTTTGTCGCGCTCCATTCCTGTAAAGGCAACAATGTTTTCTACAAACGCGAGTATCAGTCTCTACCATGCGTTCTAACTGGCGAAATCACTTTGAACTGTCTCTGTTAATATCCCACGAGCTTTTAGCATTGGCGCTGCCGAATTTAAGTGACGGGAAATATGTGAAACGATACCCCAGTTGACAGTCGGCTGCTCGACTTGCAGAATGGAACGCAGCAGTACACCATTATGTGAATGAGGCTGTACCCGTCATACCCTAACGCCCTCGAGTCTTCAAATATCCGGATGAACGCTAACCTTTACATGGCACAAAAACGAGCCAACGCACGCACGCACCGTGCAGAAAGGCGCTTTGGTGGGTGCAGCGATGAGGGCTAGTTGTGCCGCCATGGCGAGCTGCAGCACTTTTGAGAACTAAAAAAATTAAACAAGCAAAAGCAAACCTGGCGACATGGGGAGCGGTGGCATGAGCAGGTCGTAAGTTTATAGAGCAAGTCGTGGACATACATGACACGTTCGCCGGGCTACTGAAGTAGTGACCTCTCATTCATGTTTCTCGTACACTGCAATAAACGTAAACTCTTCAAGGAGAAACTCCAGCGTCCTGCAAATTGTATTTTCTCAATGACTAAAGGATAACAAGAGCATAGAAAGGTGTTAGGGTGTCTGGCGAAGGGCCGACACTTGGCATATCGCTCCACTTTTCAATGGCGAGCACACCTGTTGTGAAGAAGACGATGTGGTTGTACTCCAGGTGTCGCGCGTGCAGCTTCTCGCCTCGACCCTCCGGGCTGCGGATCTGCGTGGAGGAGGCACAGGCGCCACCGGCTCGGCGGCATCCTCTGATGCACTTGAAGGCGCACCAGGTCTGTCCAGGCCTCCGCTGCTGCTGCTGCCGCTGTTGGCCAGAGGCGGTTGATGTAGGCCACCTTCGTCGCTGGCCTCGGACTCGGCGTCTTCAGAACCACCGCCACTGCACCAGTGATGTGCTGCGCCACCTGCGCACACACATGTAACCACAAATCAGCGAACTCACTGATGAGTCGACTCACTTTGAATAACTCAGAGTGAGATCGAGCAGTGAGCCTGAGTACGAGTGAGCCATATAAGCACAAAATATATTTCATGAGCAATTCCGAGTGAGCTCCACAAGTGTGCCCACGAAGGTGCAAAAGCCTGCCCCATGTTTCGCTGATCAAACCAGTCGTGGGCATTATATATATATATCGGCATTATATTATATATGATCCTCTAAGTCGAAGCGCACTTAGAGTATTGGACTTCATAAGCCCAGTGCTTGAATCTCTCAACTAGGAAGATGGCTACACACACCTCATCATTTTGTGAATAAGTCAAGGCTGCATCAGTAATCTAATGGAATGCCAGAAGACTAAAATCACGCCTTTAAGATTTTTGCCAGTTTGTGTATACAGTCAGCTGCTGATTTTTCGGACACCCGAATTTTCGGACATGCCCGATGATTCGGACATCTTCGCGGCACCGCCACAAGCCCCATAGAATCAATGTATAAGAAAGTCTGAAATTTCGGACGCTCGAACCCACCAGAGTCCAATTTTCTGGACTTTCTGACACGACGGAAGGTTGGAAACCACCACTGACCTCCTGTGGAAACCACCACAAATGCGTCACACACGATTACGATCACATAAATGACCGCGCCGGTTTACTGTGGCGACATCTGTTGCTTGGACTCGATCGTTAGCGGATAAACACACACAGCCTCCGAGATTCCTAACACTGGCCTGTGTTTATCGTGCAAGGGTGCTTCGCTGACAATCGAGACTATCCAACAGGAAATGTTTTGGCGCCAATAAAGTTCCTTTCGCTTTAGCGCTTGTGCTCTTGCGTGCCACTCTGGCTTCCCGCGCAGCGCTTTCGCGAAGCGTTTCACCACTTCGACCTAGAACTAAGTGTCACACATCGATTCGGTCTGGCCACGCTGGCTATCTTGAATGCTCACCAGCGCCACCTCCGGAATACCTGAGGCACCGTCGCCTGCCGTCGCGCCGTTTTGTTTACGCAGCCCACATGGTGTTTGGCTAGCCTAGTGCATGGTTATGCGATCGTGTGCTCTGCAACGCTAAGCCTAGATGCTTCGACGCTCGTCAGCAAACTCCTTTGTTCACATCGTGAGGATTTCACTTGCCTGCGATGGCCCCCACTCCGCCTTTGTCGTCCTCGCCAATGGCATCAAAGTGCAGAAAACAGTACCGTCGGTTAACTACGGAGAAGACAGCCGCCATTATTAAGTTAGTGAAGAGTGGCCGATAGCAGGCTGACGTGAGCAAGGAGTTCGGCATTTCCAAACAAACAGTTTCCGATTTCCTGAGGAACAAAGACAAGATTTTGGAAGTGGCCTAAAAACCATCTGGTGTTCAAAAGATGAATGCCAGCCAAGGTGTTCATCTAAAGCTTGAGGACGCTCTCGTCGTGTGGCTTAATTCAATGATTGCCAAGCGGTTGCCAGTCTCTGGCTGCATCTTGAAACAAAAAGCGGAAACTCTCGCACTTCAAATGGACATCAAGGATTTTAAATTCAGTGATGGATGGCTGAGAAACTTTAAGCATCGGAATGACCTCAAGTTCAAGAAGATGTGTGGCGAAAGCGGCGCCGTCGACAGTGCCGTTATTGCGCAGTACCGCAGCGGAAAACTCCAGTCTTTTTTGAAGCAGTTCTCTGCTGACAACATTTTCAACTGCGACAAAACTGGCTTGTTTTACAAGCTGCTGCCAAAAAGAACACTCACTTTTGCTGGTGACTGATGCCATGGTGGCAAGCATAGCAAAGAACAGCTGACGGTTTTTGTCGGCAGCAACATGTCTGGCAGCGAGAAACTTACTTTGTTAGTAATCGGGAAGTCCAAGAGCCCAAGGTGTTTTAAAGGGGCAACGCTGCCAGTGTTATACGAAGCCAACAAAAAGGCATGAGTAACACAGCAGTTGTTCGAGAGTTACTTCCGCAGGATGGACAGGAAGTTCGAACAACAGAACAGGCATGTTCTGCTCTTCGTTGACAACTGCGCTGCTCATCGTCCCATCAATATCTTGAAGGCTATCCAGCTGGAATTCATACCGCCCAACACGACTGCAATCCTCCAACCGATGGACCAAGGCGTTATCCGTATTCTGAAACTTTTGTACCGTTCACGTATACTCAACCGCATGGTGCTGTGCTCGGAAAACGGGAAAGGCTACAGCGTTGACCTTCGGTCTGCTGTTGGAATGCTTGTGGACGCATGAAAGGCAGTAACGCAAGACACCCTTCGCTACTACTATCGCCATGTGGGCTTCGTACTCGACACAGAGGCAGCAGACTTGCCTGAAGAAAGCGACAGCGTCACTGACTTGTGCCCTCTCATGGACGATATCAACGACCTCCGCTCTGCTGGTGCTTCCATGCCCACAGAAATAACTTTTGAGCGGTTCATCGATGCTGACAACGAGCTCGACTTCTGCGCAGAGCTAACCGATGACGAAATAGTCAGTCAGGTTATGACGGATTCAGACGACTCCGATGTCGAAAAAGAGGAACCAACGCCTACGCCACCTAAAACCGCCGAATTCATGCGAACATTGATGACACTGTCTTGGTGTACAGTGATGACATGACCCTCGCTCAGATTGAGGCGAATGTGATCACATGAAAGCGGAACGTCATTCAAACAAGGATCAACAAGTTTTTCAAGCCACTGCAGCTCTAACACCGGCTGCCCTGACGGCACTCGCGGTCGGCTGCATTCATTTTTTTTAACGGCTCTTTTCAGAGCCACCCCACTGATGCTTTGGCAGAGTTACGGAAGTCTGGTACTTCGACCTTAACCCTCTTGATCCGAGAAATATCAATGAAATGGTGTGTTTTTTGCTTGCATTCAGAAATATTAGCAAAATGGTGCGTTTTTTTTGCTTGCATTCATTTTTTAGGACTGCTCGAATTTTTGGGCGGTTTTTCGCTCCCTAGAGGGTCCGAAAAATCGGCAGTTGACTGCACCAATGTGCTTCCACTCATCGTCATTTGTGAACCCAATTTGCCAAAACCACTAAGACTTTTGGGGTACAAGCTGTCATGTCTTCAACAAACAATGTGTGCAGCAAAATCACCGTCTTTGTTCGTTGCGAACTGAAATATGTTGTGCAAACAGTTGCGCCTTATGATGACAATCAGTATGTCGGCATGACTGTGAAAAAGAACAAACTCATGTTTACTCTCACAGGCATCTTTATATCGCCTTTGAATATACTCGTTTCTCGAAAATTAGCAGATATTTTGAAAGTGGATCACGCACCATGAATCATCGTAGGTGATTCAATGTGCATCATCACTGCATGGGGAAGTACGTGGACAAATGCAAGAGAATGAAGGTTAGCAAACATCACCTACAACATGTGGCCTTTCTCTCCTGAAAGGCGGTACAGTAAAAGCTTGTTAATTCGGATTTCACGGGACCGTAAAAACTGTCCGAATTAACCGAATGCCGAACTAACGAATGAACAGAGGAAAACAACATTTAAAATCAAGCTGCAGAAGCATACCTTTATTTGTTGAAGTATTTGTAATTGTCGTCTACATTTTCGGCACAGATTCCGGCTGACATCACAATTTTTCTTAACTGTTTTGAATGGCCAACAGCACGCAAGTTGTCGGGAGTGTTCAGGCGAGCGTCCTCTAATATTAACAGCGCCTCCGACACTTCCCTTGAGGTGTGATGAGGTCGCGGCTGTATCTCCTCGCATGATTCTTCGTCGGAATCGTGGTCTTCATGGGCGCCCGTGACATCATTAATAATCTCTTGATCGGTCAGGAGACCACTCGTGGCGACACCATGATCAATCGCGATGTAGTCCTGAAAGGTTACATCTGTGGGAAGGACAGCATCGAAAGTCGGGCATGTCATCGTCGGTGGACTCGGCTGACACCTCCTCGATGCCATCGTCAGCTACTGCTGCATGCTCGGGCCTCACAAAACCGCTGTGCCGAAAACAGTTGGTGATGACTTGCGGTGGAGTGTTTTTCCACATGTGGGCGATGATGTGCACTGCGCCGAGTAAGTCCACTTGATACAACTTTCCAGCTTCTGAGCATAGGATCATTCGCTCTAGCAGGTGCTTGTGGTACTTCGACTTCACGTAGTGAATGATACCCTGGTCCATCGGCTGAAGAGCAGACGTAGTGTTGGGTGGCAAAAAAACTACTTTGATGCTCTTCAGTTCGACTGTACAGTTATGGGCACTGCAGTTGTCAACAACCACAATTATCTTGCGGTCTTTCGACGTGAAGTGCCGGTCCAACTGCTGCAGCCAGCCGCGAAAAATGTCCGATGTCATCCATGCCTTCCTGTTCGCTGTGTACTCGACAGGAAGGCTTTTGACGTTCTTAAAACAACGTGGCTTAAGCGCCTTCTCGACGACAAGTAGTGGCAAGCGCTCCGTGCCAGTCATATTGGCGGCAAGAAGCACAGTTATCCTTTGCTTGCACCTCTTGCCACCAATGCACGCATCCCCTTTGAAAGTCACCGTCTTGTCGGGCAGAGCTCTGCAAAATAGAGCAGTTTCATCTGCATTGAACACGTCACGTGGCTCATATGCGGTGATGTGCTCCAGCAGCTTCACATTTCTCCACTCGGTGGTCACGCTTTCGTCAACACTGGCCTTTTCGCCGCACACACTCCTGAAGACAAGTTCGTGTCTCTCTCGAAACCTCGCAAACCACCCTTCTGACGCTTCGAACGATTCAATGTTCATCATTGCAGCGTACTTCTCCCCTTGCGCCATGATGAGAGGTCTGCTCAAAGGCAGATGCGCGTTGCGACAGTCAGTAATCCACCGGAGCAAAGCTTCTTCGAGCTGGGGATGAGCTGCGGTTCGCAACCACTTTCTAGAGGCATGAAACTTCTTGCTTTCGAAGGCCCGTAGAATCTGTTGTTCATTTTTCACGTACATTCCCAACGTGCTCCGCTTCACGTTGTACTTGGTCATAACC